CGTGCTACTCGTATTATAATTTTACAATGATGCAAAAATATGCATAAAATATTTTTAACAAAATTTTAATTAGCAAAAGATTCTTGTTCATTTACTATTATTTTAAACTCGATTTTAAACAACGAATGTTTAAATTCATTTAACATTGAAGTTGTAAGTGATAATAACCACACAGTCTAGGCGGGAATTTTAAATTTTGAATTGTTTTCTAAGATTTTATAACTGATTCCTTTGTATTTTTTTGCGCTGGTTTACAATTTTTTCTCGTAAAGATATTTCGCCAAAAAAAAAAAAAAACAGAAAGTATAACATATAAAATCTACTATAAGCATGTGTTATCACTGGCCTTGTTACGAATACGCCAAACACAAATGTTTCAAGTGTTACTAGTATCAAGAATTTTGGGAGAACTGTTTATAAATTGGTTTATTGATCTATGAATTCTCTAATCAATAATATTTTTTTAATGATAATAATTTTAATAATGTTTTGACTACCATTCAACTAACTTACACGGCGAGTCACCTAAAATGAAGACCAAAACCAATTTTCAAACGCAACCCAAAATCCTTTCCCACAGATACCTTGTCTTCTGTTGAAATGTCATTCATTAAATTTGACATTGTTATTAATTCCACTTTTTTCCTTTTGGATTCGAAAATACTCCACAAAAATAATGGTATCATGGTATAATAGTTGCGTTTGATAATAATAATCGGTTAGAGTCTTTATTATACATGACTCAGCCTGTATATAAGCTTAAATTTAATATGACTGAACTTCAATTACTTCAAAAAACATGATATTTTTTATAGTAACTTCTAAAACTAAAATAGCAAACTAGTAAATGACAATTACAATGGTCTTATACGCCTTGTTAGAAAATTTGATTATTGGTTAGAACATATTTGTTTTGAAGGTACGGGTTAATTGATTTAGAAAAAAATATTGTGGGAAGTGAGTAAGCAAAAATGTAAAATCTTTGATTTTTTGAGATTAGTTTTTTCTAAACGTATTCAAATTGTGACTCTAAACAAAAATCTAGATATCTAGATTATACGAAATACCGGAGTTTAATAAATAGATAAGTGTGCGCTAAAAAACAGGTACATAGACATAGAGTAGCGCTTTTATATAGGGTGCGCGAGAACTCGCGCTCCAGAGAAAAATGCCATATAAGGTAAGATACCAGGAACATAGGAAAAATATTAAAAAAAAATATCTATAAAAATTTCGATGTTATGAGGGTTTAAAGTTTGCACTTTGACTCTATTAATTTCTGTTGTAAAAATAATTTTCCAAGTTTTTTTGCTATAGGCTATTAAAAGAGGAAACAAGGAAGCTGTATCCTAAATTGTAACTCTGTTCAATGATATTTGTGGCTTTTATTGGAAATTTTTTTGTCCCTTTACTAAGTAATTGTAAAAAAACATATAAAAGATCATCAGTATCATTAAATTTTTTGACAGATAGAATTTTTTAAACATTTTTTTCATGTTCCTGGTATCTAACGTTACTTGGAAATATTCTCTAGGGCGCGAGTTCTAGCGCACCCTGCATAAAAAAAATAATTTTATGGACAAGACTTGACATACTTCTTGTTTAAGGAGGATGCTAAGATTGCAAAAAAGTATCAAAACATGCATTTGGTTACTTCTTCAAACCACTTCAAAAGCACAAACATAAACTATATCGTATATTTAATAACTTGTATTAAAAATAGTATCTATAAAGAAGAAGGGTGTTTCATAAAATCCAGTTATAACTTTGGCGGAGTAATCCGTTGCTACTTAAGCTTCAGAGATTAAACAGCTTTTCGAGAAGTCCGACACAAAATAATGTAGCTGGGCGCGAGAGATATGCCGATAGTAACTCAAGCTGACACAAATTCGTAGACATGTGTTAGCTGTCCGTACAAAATCATAATAATAGTTCACAAGGAAAGACACATGGCCGACCAAGACCTAAGGGCTTTAATGCACCTGAGTCCGCCTTCAATGGAGGGGACTTATATCGGTTATTGTGTCATCGTTGACATTTTGAATAATAGCCTGCCTGTGATTGAACGAAGAAGGTCAAAGGACATTTGCGGATGACATGATTAACCTACAACAAAATATAGAGTTGATTAAATTTTGTAACTTTTTTGCAAAAAAAGTATGGATGTATGTGTAAGAACTTGCGCCCCAAAGAAAAATTTCAAAAAAAAATAAGTTACCAGGAACATCTTTAAAAAATTCTGTCAAAAAATTTTGATATTTCTTTTGGACATTTGACATTTTTTATGTCTATTTAACGATACTGATGATCTTGTATAGTAGATTTCATTGAAATTGCATAATGCTTGGCTATGAAATTTCATATTTAAGTTTGTAGGGCATGTCCCTGGTATAATAGCAGATAGGATTTTTGTTTTTCTTTAATTACTTACCTACATGGTTTGTTGAACTGACATGACTGACATTTGTATTCGTTTTTTCACTGTTTTTGTTGCTAGTTCGTTATTCTCAGAATTTTTTCAAATTATAATTAAAAGTAGTTCTCTTCAGAGTAGTATGTTTGAAAACATAATCAATTTCTTTTTGTTGTTGCTGTTAATGGAATTAAATATACCAATTTGAATAAAGCCAATTTATTTTTTCCAAAACAAATAGTGTATGTTTTTGGTGTTAAAACTACACCTACAAAGGGATGAAACAGGGTGTTAAACTTTTTATAGAAAAAACTCTCTTTGAAAAAAACTTGAAAAACTATTTTTCCAACAGAAATAAATAGAGTCAAAGTGCAAACTTTAAACCCTCATTACTTCGAAATTTTTATAGATAATTTTTTTAACATTTTTTCTATGTTCCTGGTATCTTACCTTATATGGCATTTTTCTCTGGGGCGCGAGTGTTCTGGCGCACCCTGTATAAAGCCTTTTTGACATTTAAAGCGTGGTTTACACAATCATAGCCTACTGTTCACAAATTATACAGATATGACAGCTACGGCAAAATCACAAAATGGATGTTGCCCCCACCTGGCCGCCCGGCCCTCTCAACGGTCTTCGGGTACCGCCAAATTCAAATGTACTTTACGTATTGAAAATAATCTTTCGTAAAGTAAACAACAAAAATTGACGTTATTAATGTTTTTATTTTGCATCACTTTATTCCAACTTCCAAAATAACACAAACTTTCCACCCAGTAAACCATTTCCATATGCATCAACCATCATAACCTCAAAAACTTGTCATGTCAAAATGCCAAGTAACTTAGTTACTTTATTTATGTTGGTTGGTGCCCATGTTGGTACCTTCAACGCTGCCGTCCTAAAAACGGCCCGCTCAACTGTCGTTGTGGAAGCATGGAAGGGGTAAATCTGATACTCACAAATGAACAATTTTATATTTCAGTTTTTCATAAAATTCACAACATTTATATGGAAACTAAATGTTGTAATATATTTGTAGCAATACATAGAACACAACTGCTATGATTTTTTGTGACTTTTGGCAAAAAGTACAGTGAAAAAAATTGTTTAACTATTTTTCAAAAATCTGTCTTATCTGTATAATCAGTGTACTGTTATACCAATTTCAATGAAATGGATTACCTATATATGTTTTTATTATAATTATTTAGTAAAGGTACAAAAATTTTTCTAATAAAAGTCACGAATAACATTAAACAGAGTTACAGTTTAGGATACAGCTTCCTTATTTTCTCTTCTAATAGCCTGTAGCAAGAAAAACTTGGAAAATTATTTTTTCAACAGAAATAGAGTCAAAGTGCAAAATTTAAACTATTATAACTTTGAAATTTTTATAGATAGAATGTTTTTAACATTTTTTCCATGTTCCTGGTATCTTACCTTACATTTTTTTTCTCTGGGGCGCGAGTTCTGGCGCACCCTATATAATATAAATAACTCTATTATAGACTAGATGTTGTTGCATACTTTATTTTGTCTAATTACGAGGTTTGCCTTAAAATCCGTGCAGAATCTCCGACCGAATGCGTACGGAAGGTAAAGTTGTAACACGACTGCACGACGGCCTAAGGCAGTGCCGACGAGAGCGGCAGCGCTCTGCTCGCCTGAAGAGACGATAAGATAAGGTACCGCTAGGTTATGGAATGGCACTTTAATTACACTAATGGGAGAACCAAATGTTAATTACAATTCAAAGTCGAAAAGAGAGGAGCTAGATCGCAATTTATAGACACCGGATTTAAGGGGAAGATTGTCGCAGCTGAGGCCGCCAATATTAATGGAAATTCTTGACTTTGATATCCACTTCAATCCCTGACTGGACAAACTATCATTACAATCCAAACTATTAAAATTTGTATTAAATCATGGTTCACTAAATTTGTTTTTTTTTTGTTGCAGTCCTACTTTCGGCCAAAGACAAGCTTGGTAGAGGAACATTTAGAACCACTCCCGACGACCACTTTTGAAGGTAATTTTTTAGATTTTTCAATACGGCTGTATTAGATCTTAACTTCTTCGTTTACCCTTACTAAAGAATTACAAAGAATCGAGAAAGAATGTACCTTTGCAGTAAAATTTCATCTGCAAACTTTTTAAAACTTGAGAAAACAATCTTAATACGAGGAATGCCAACGAGTCGTTATTTAAAAAGCTGCTTGATGAGAGATACAGTCGGCCATTGTTTTACGGCGCTTTTTCTCTACCTATTTGATATTTTCTTGTAAAAAGCTAACTTACTAAGAATTTCATTATTATAATTTTATGCGAAAGTTTCAGACAAGCATCTTATACAACTTTCTCTTTACGAAAAATGTTTTTTCAAATAAAAAGAGTTTTTATACACCTAACACCGATTTTGATGCTCAAAAGTCGTTTGTTGCGTTTTAACATGGACCATACTGTCACATATAAAAATGTTTTAAATGCTTTTAAAAAGCCTAATCTTTACGTAATTAAAACCTAATTAAGAAGAAAATCAATATTTCTATAACGTTTGACGTACGACCGCTTTCCCTGGGGAGCTTCTTGTTTCTCAGATATAACGGAATTAATTGATGCATGATGATTCAGAGTCTGAAAACGTGTCTGTAGTTTTTTTTATTGCAATGTAATTCTGTTTGTTGTAAGAATCTTAAATAATCATATGTGGCAAAATTACATTTGTCGTTTGTTATTTTTATTATTTTAAGAATTTATCCGTTTTTTTAATTATTTACTTTTCAACTTTGTTCCTCCTATTTTTCATTTCATAAGTTAATAATTATAGCCCATAAAGTGTAAAAAAGATGATTGCTCCGCCTATTTTGAATTATTAGCAACTAACAGTCCAATCATATTAGAGCAAAAATTACACTGGACAATTTTTTCCGTGATTTCGTGTAATAAAATAGGCTTCTATATTTAGGTGCATATTTTACATTATTCTATTATGAAGTACTTACTTTGAATTGCTTAAAAAACACTGAATTTAGGTTTAAACTTTAATGTCAACTAAATTTCCACGTGACATTTCAAAAATTGTGTCAGTGTGACTTACACTGCCTTTGATTACAACTTTTCGTTGGTAAAACTACTTAAGGGCGGGGCATTAATCAAGTTATATTTTAACGACTGTAGTTAAAGTATTAAATAACAAAACTATTCTATACTTTAACTACGACAGATCAGTTTTTTATAAAAATAACTAGTTATGACCTGAAATTACAAATGTTTCTCCAATTATACAGGATGTTAGAAACAGATTGTAAAATGTTTAAGGAGGTAATAGTGTGGACTAAAATAAACAAAAAAGTCTTGATAAACAAGGTCCGCAAAGTAACGGTTTGGGAAATGTCAAATGTAATTTTTTTTTAAATCTTCACTAGAAGCTTCTCTTTTTTGTTTGAAAAGACTGCAAATAAATATTTCAAAAAACGAATAATTTTTTCCGAAACCGTTTCTTTGGGGACCCATATTTATTAAGACTTTTTTGTTTGTTTTGGTCCATACTATTTACTTCCTAAAATGTTTTACAATCTTTTTTTAACACCTTGTATCTGCGACTTGTAAGTACTTAGACTAAAAATCTATCATTACAAAAAGTAACGCCAACGAAAAATTTTAATTAATGTTTTCGTCACTCGGTATTGGAAATACTTAAAATAGATCGTAAAAATAGGGAATATATAATTTAATTGTCTGCCTCAATAGACTTTCAGTCAAGTAATTTCTAATCAGTAGAACAAAAGCAAAAAATAAATTTTTGTATTTGTAATTCACAACCTCGTGTTATCGTAACTTAACAATTGACCAAATGTACTGAGGAACACAAAAACAAAGATGCGTGATACACTATAAGCTAATAGTAAAAACAACAAAAAATTTACAGACATTAATATTAAAATGCTGGATTACACGCGAAATAGATCATAGTTCTCGCGGGTTCGAGTTTGGGGTGCAGTTTTTTTTTTAGTTTGATACCCATTATTATTATTATTTTATCACATTTTACTGTTTAATAATATATATTTCATGATTAAAAATAATTTGCATCCCCATGAATTTATTGTATCTTCAACCATATAATTCTGCGGCCGCGTTACGGCCGATTTTTGCTCTTTGCGGCCAAACGGTGCGACGATTTTTACCAATTTCGTGCTACGTCCCCTTGCTACAAGTAACTTACATACCAAATTTCAAGTTTCTGGCTCTTATGGTTCTCGAGATTTGCTTTTTACAGACAGACACACAAACACACACGCACACACACAGAGAGAGAGAGAGCGACGACCCAATGGCCCAAACTAACTTTTTGGTGTCTTAAACCTATAATTCGTTCAGAAATGTAAAAATCTGGGTAGGTCAAATTTCAACCGATTACAATACTTTCTTTATAGGATAAGGAAAGTAAAAAAATTGAAATTCTGATAATGTCGGGATGTGGTGATAAATCCATAACACAGCTGAAAGTGAGAAACAAATGATGTTTTTTTCTCAATAATTTTACAATATAAGTAATATATCAAAAAATTATACCACAACTTTGATACCTTAATGTTTTAGTAATGAATTTAAGGTTCCTATTTAAAATGACGTCATCACTCTAAAACAAATAAAAGCTAAGATTTTAATTTCGTACTAGAATGTGTACTTTTAAAACAAAATTGACCTGTTTAAGGATTTTTCCAAAATTTAATTGTATGTATCCACGAGTTTTTTAACACCCTGTATCCTCTATTGTGGAGAGATGGATAAAAAATTAGAGTCTTATAATAAAAAAACCACCATATTTAATTTTTATGATGTATTGTTTGTGATTATAGTGTAGTAAAATAATATTATAATTCGGATCATTGAAATTGCATCTAGAATCTATTTGGTGTGGGTTAAGTTGAAACACTCGGTGTCTGGCGTCTTCTTTGCCTGTAGCGTAGAGCTGCTGTTCACTATGCATTTATTCATATCCACAAGCCAGATGATAATATAAATAGCGTAGAAAGTCGCGTTTTCTATCTAAATCACGTCGGCATATTGTGCGATGTGTGGCAAGCTCTTGTGTTATAAATTAAACTATAAAATTACAGCACATAATAATGCAAAGCTCGCATTTCAAGCGAGAGAACAATACCAATAAAAATTAATCGTAACGAATTAACCGCGATGATGATGACAACATGACAATTACAAACAATCCCAAAGTCATAAAAAGACAGAGCCGATCGAGAAAAAAACGCGTCATAAAGATAACTATAAAACGTAATAAAACTGAAATCCGAAGCGAGAGAAATTCGGCTGAACTCAATTAATCAATAAAACAGTAAAACGCTCCCCCGTCGCCGTTAAGAGTGTAGGGGGTGGATGGGGTTAAAGGGGACGGGGGTTGAAATGTGCGGTTTCGAGACGCTAGCCTAGGAGAGAAGCAGCCAGCGCACGCGGGTTGTGGTCGCCGAGGAATCTCCCGCTATTATATTGAACACTGGCTTTACTCCTGCTGCTGCTAATGTTCGTTGTTGCTCATCCAAGGCATCTGGGAACGTACGCATTTTTCGCATGACGTTGGTCCACCTACATGGAAATCTTCTCGAAACCATTATCAAAAATTTATATTAATATTTGTCTCAAGAATGTTTATATCAAAATCGTTAATAGTCATTACTGAACAGCGGGAGAGAACTTGAAACTTCTCTCTTTAGACAAACATCTGATTACTCACGGATATGATTGATTGTATCGAGAATTGGCTTAATTTGCATAAGCCTTGAGGTGAATAAGGTTTTCCATTTGCAGTTTACGTTTGGGTAATAAAACGCAAAATTTCAACATTTAATACATGGTTTTGGTTCAATAATCTTCATTCAGAGCACAAGAACTATTCAGAATTTGCGTGCTTGTTCGGCCACCGGTACATTGTTAATTAGCCGTCAGTGTCTGCTAACACGAAGACTTCACCGTCGTTATTTATTTGCTAAATCACGTGTTTCTTCCGGCAACGTCCGGAACTGACCCGTTACGCTCCCTATTACTAGGTTACGACGCGATAAAAGCCTCCCCAACGTTGGTAAAAAGAGCAAAAGCTTTAACACATTTCCTTTACACGCGTGTGTAACATATAATCTTTATCAGTTTTAATCTTCTTGGCCAACAATTCGTCAATTATTTTTTTTGGTTAAAAATACAAACTCGGGTCAAAAATAATTTTATTCATCGCCCGTTTAAACGTTTGTCGGCGAATTTGCGGTTGGGGCAAAATAAAGAATTAAACCGAGCGGTGGTCTATTGAAATGGGAGCTTCGCCGGCAGCACGTAGCTGACAAGCATTTTTACAAATGATTCCACTCGCATTCCCCCACACATGCACGCACACATTGCCACTGAATATTCTATGGAGCATTCACCGGCTTTTCAGAGGGAGCTACAGGTGGCTCAACATAGATAGCATTTTTCAGCGGCTTCTTTTACAGAGATATCTTTTACGATTTCACGCACCAACGCGACACCTGAGAAATCACTTCTTTAAACTAACTTTCTTTTTTTCTTGAATACATGTACGTATCTGGTAGTATTAATAATTATCAATGTTGCTCCTGAAAAATTCCATTTCATGGGGCTGTCGGTTTATCGAAGCAATTATCAGGCGTCGCCGTGGTGGTCCGGTTATGATAACGCGTCGTATTTCCACTTCCGTCCTTGAATGAGTTAAAGTGGCGAAAGCAGAGATAATAACGGAAACACGGTACTCAGGTACAATACAATGTTATCATGCCATCGTTTCTAGACGCATCTTCTACGTGGTCGTGAAGAATATACCAACCAACCCAGACTGGTGATGACTTTACTGCAACAAGGAAATGCGAGGAAATTAATATCGTAAATATAAAGTTAGACCATAATTCACTCTACTAAGAATTTTTCTGAAATATTGGGGCTACAAATTATCGTGAACACGTGGTTATGCCGTTTAGAAAACGGATTTATACTCGGTTAATTTAC